ATTTTTGGAAAAAAATTTCATCTCAAACATTAAGATAATGAGTGAATATAGCATACATTGATCAAAATTTAATTATTATTAATTAAATTATTAATATTTTCCTATAATTGTATATAAGATATTCAATTCTTTTATCATATTAATGGAATAAAACAGCGTCGTTTTGTCATTTAACATAGGGAAACGATATCGTTTTGTATTGTAAATTCAATGACAAAGGACAAATAAATTCTTGATTAGAAAATCCTTAAAATAGAGAAGAAAAAAGAAATCTTGGTTGTGTGGGGAAGTAGAGTAAAAAGCGTGGATAGTTGTGTTGAAAAATAGAAAAGACAAAAAGAAGAAAGATAAATGAAAATGATGGTTGCGTGTGAAAGTCAATAAAGATAAGAAAGATAAATAAAAATGATGGTTGCGTGTAAAAGTCAATAAAGTTTAATAAAAAAAGAAAAAGAAAAAAATGGCAAACAGTAACTGGGCACGACTCCATAGAAACAGTGTCATAACAAGTGCGTCTTTTATTTTAGTTAGGATTAACAAATTTAATTATAGTACGGAACTCGGGAATCAAATGAATCGATTTGAATCGAACCATAATCACACTCTCACACGTCTTTCACTGCAATGTCACTTCCACTATAAAAATATAAAAAATTTATTATAAAGCTTTTAAATCAAATTTAAATGATTTAAAATTAAATATAAATATTATTTAATTTAAATTAAACAAATGTCGTTCTATCATAAAGAATGCATAAATATTATTTTATTAAACCAAATTAAGCAAATAAAATAAAAGAAAGTTAAATAAATAATATATAAATACTATTTAATTAATTATTAAAATTGAAAATTTTTAAGTTTTTTACCATAAAAGAATTAAAAAGAATTTTATATTGAAATATAATATAAAAAAAATTATCTCCGTGAACGGAGAGAATCGCTCCATTCACGGAGAGATAGTCTCTCGTTCCAAAAGGAGAGTTATCTCTTTTTGAAAGGAGTGAAACCTCTCATTTCACATAGAGTTTCCTCTCCAATGGGTGGAAAAAAAATTTCTTATTTATTTGTTTTGTTGATATTATAGATATTTTTTTATTTAAAATTTTTGTGAATTCTTTTCCCGTTATTTATGATAAAGAAACGAAACGAAACTAAATATAAATATTATTAAAAAAAAGGAATTGCGGGCAAAAATATAAAAAATTTATTATAAAGTTTTTAAATTAAACCCCTTATCGTTTAAAATTACAAATAAATATTATTTAATTCAAATTTAATGAATATCGTTCTATCATAAAGAACGTATAAAGATTATTTTATTAAACCAAATTAAACAAATAAAATAAAAGAAAGTTACAAAAATTAAATAAATAATATATAAATATTATGTAATTAATTAAAATTGAAAAAATTTAAATTTTACCATAAAAGAATTAAAAAGAGTTTTATATCGTATGAACAAAATTATCCCTCCTTTAAAAAAAGGGTCGACAAAAAAATCTCTCCGTCCACGGAGAGAATCTCTCCATCCATGAAGAGAGATTATCTCCTTTCAAAATGAGAGTTCTCTCATTTTGACTTTTTAAAAAGAGGGTTCCCTCCTTTGAAGGAATGAAACTCTTCATGAAAGGAGAGTGTTCTCTCCAACGGGGGGAAGTTTTTTTCCTTAATCATTTATTTTATAATTTGTTTTGTTGATATTATAGATAATTTTTTTTATTTAAAATTTTTTCAATATTAATTTATTCTATTTAAAAAAATTCAATTTTTTTCTATTGGTGGAGATGGAAATTATTGGTTTTTTTGCACAAAGTTGGATGTTTCATTTTTGCCACATGCGTTTTCACTGGATTGAATTTTTTTCTATTGGTGGAGATGAAAATTATTGCTTTTTTTGCACAAAGTTGGACGTTTCATTTTTGTCACATGCGTTTTCACTTGATTAAAATAGATTTGGTCAAAGTGTTTTTATTTTTTTATTATATTATCCCTTCTTATCTTACTATTCATTTTTGTCACATTGACTTTCACATTGAATTGGTTTGGTCATTTGAATCCGACACACAATACCCTTTTCTCTATTTTCTCACGCTATCAACTATCAACTATATACTATAGTTTTATTAGTAGTAATACTTTTTTTAAATAATATTTTGTCTAGCTTTTTTTAAAAAAAATTGGTGGAGCAGAAACGACGTCGTTTTCTATTTTACCTACAGCTTACATACTTTGAATCTGATACACAATACTGTTTCTTCATTTTCTCACGCTATCAACTATCGACCATATCCTATAATTTTAATAGTAATAATATTTTTTTAAAATAATTTTTTACATAAAAGTCATTCTTTATTTCTAAAATGTAAAATGTCACTTATAACTAAAAAGATCACTTCAAGTTATTTAAAAGTAAAACGAACTTATAATTATAAAAGCTACTTATAAGTTACAAAATATTAACTTAAAATTTTTTAAGTATAAATATTTAGATATATTTAGTTTTTAAAATTAAATATTAAAAAAAACATTACATTATCTATAATATTAAAAGTTGCTT